GGATCCCACGTGCACAGCTAGCGGCGCATGGCGAGGATAGCCGATGTTATCCGAAGTACCGCGTACTGACTGGTCAACTTGGCTGCTCTGTTTGCGACTGCTTATAACGACTTTTTATCGACTGGGAAACGTTTGATTCAGTGATTTTCACGAGGTAATCGCAGCCATTTTGTAGTGAATTTTATCTGTTTTTTGGAACAAGCTTAAGGCACACAGGTTTCATGAAATGTGTCAAGTGTTGTTTAATTAAAGTGCTTTCAGGTATTTGCAATATCTAGAAAACAATTTATCGCAAAAAAAAAAACGGCGACAGAATTGGTGTGTTTATGCTACACGAAGCATGTCAGCAATGGCGCTTCATGAGTGATCGTTACAGAACCGACGCGATGTGAAACTGACTCAGATTTTTAGTGACAATATTTGAGCCCTTTAAAGGGATAACTGAGCTCCGCAAGCAGAACATTAAGCCCCGAATACCTACAAGTGAATATTCTACATATACATGATTCAAACATGCTGCTTAGTGTATCTATCAGCAGTAGACACATGTACTCTTCGAGTACATATTTTTTAGTTTGCTTTACTTTGAACATTTACATTTTTTTTACCAACACCGCTATATCAATGAGCTATATATCCTTCACATATCTCAATAGTCAACCACCAATTTCTTCCATTCCTTTCCCATATAGCAATAGTTTCTTATAGCAGTAGCCACACGTTCGTTCGTTCGTTCGTTCGTTCGTTCGTTCGTTCGTTCGTTCGTTCGTTCGTTCTTCAGGGTTTTTTTTAGTTTTAACTGAAGAACGCCTGGCTACGCAGGCTAGTCGAGTGAGTGAAAACGGTCCCCAATTCATAGTGCGAAAACGCTAGAACGACTAAAAGCTTAATGTGACAGCCTACTTTTCCCGAGTTTGTTTTCGAGATAATCAGCATTAAATGGAAGCCTACGCGCGAGCTTTTGGAGCAAAAGTTGCGCCACTGGAATTGATTAGAAAAAAAATAATATCCATAAGAATAAAGTTATTTGCAGACTCTAGTGATTGCACGAGTGAAGGCTGGTGAATCATTCTACAATAATACGTAGATATTTTCGACAAAAAGACAAAGAGACACATTGATTTGTCACATTTTGTGGTTTCGGTGCTCTTAAAAAAATCTCATAAAGTCGAACAAAAATCCCTACAAAAATCTATTTTTTCATGTGTTAGAAAAATTTACTTTTTCTAGAATGTTGATATAACCTAG